TGTGATTAAGGCTAGGTTTGACATATTCAAAAAAAGTCAAAAAGTTACTATCCTATTTAAGTCACATCATCTTATTTAAGTCACACCACCTCTTTACCACATCACTTCAAACCCAACCCATATTTCATAAAAAGTCAAAAAGTGCACTTATTTAGAATATCAATATAGTATAAATTCTACAGAATAAGTAAAAATCTAGGTTGTTAAAGCTTTTTAGTTATTTTAGCCTGTGATTAAAAAGTCCCGTTTATGAAGAATTTTTTAGTTTTTTTAAATTTTTTGTGAGAGAGTTAATGTAATGATTATGGATTAAATGTGATATTTTGTCTTACTAGACTGAAAAACTTATTTTATCTTTTTGTAACTAAAATAGCCTCAAACCTATCCCAACCTTTCTTACTAAACGAAGCCTTAATTTCATTGAGGGTGTTTGGCAACTTAGGTTTTTGGTTATTTTTTAGTTAAAATTTACAAAAAAGGCAAAATATATTAAAATAACTAATAAGATAAAATGTCACATAAAATTTATAATTATTTTACTTTTTTTTTCATAAAAATTATATCCAATTACAAAAAAATTCAATCATCTTCTCAAATATAAAAATTTTAACCTAGTAAAATAATTGAAAACTAAACAACTTACTAAAATAACAACTTCTTAGGGCATCTGCATCTGCATCAAGCTCTTCAAATTTTTAGACTAATTTAACCCAAAATTCACTTTTTCTATTTTAACTAATCACCTTTTTAGTATTCACAGTATCAAATTCTCTATTCTAACTCAATCTTATTAAAATATTAATTTGTTATTGTATTTGTTATTCTTTCTTTTTTTATTAAATTGATGAGGTGCTAGCCAAACGATTCTTAAAAAATGTAAAAAAAAATAAAAGTTGACCAGTCAACTGGGGGTCGATTGGTTAGGTTAATTTTTGGCATTTTTAGCTCAATTTTTTTAAAAAAAATATAATAAAAAATTATATAACGAATGAACAATGCCTCAACAAAGTTGTTGAAGTACTGTAACAAATCTAAAAAAATGTTAATTTAAAAAAAATTTACTGAAATTGATAAAGGAAGCATTTGATAATTTATTAACTATATTTTAATTTTTTTGTTATTTTGATGATCTTGACGTGGATGCTCTTAGATCATCTCCAACGGTGAACCAAACCTGGCATCAAATTTAAAATTTGGTAAAAAAATCACTTTTTTAAGTTCCAACGGTTTCACCAAATCGATATCAAATCCAGAATTCAGCAAAAATGGTACCAAACTAGTACAGGCGAAGCATTTCACCAAATCACTGTTTCTGACCGTTGGGTTGAGACGAACGGGTCGACCATCCGGTTAACCAACCGGTCGCCCCGGAGAAAGTTCAGACCGTTCACAAAAAGGTTCAAACCAGTCAAAAAAAAAAAAAAAAAAATTTGCCTAGGTGGTCGACCACCCGGTTGACCACCAAAAGTTCAAAAAGTTCAAAAAAAAAAGGTTCAAACCGGTAAAAAAAAATATATATATATATATTTTTTGCCGTTACCGGTTGACCGGCCGGTCAACCAACCGGTTGCCCAGCACAAATTTGATGAAACGGATTTGATGTTGAGCCGTTGAAGCGCGAAGTATCAAATTAAAGAAATGATCTATTTTTAACTCAAATTTGATGAAACATTTGGTACACCGTTGGAGATGCTTTTAGACACCCACGTTATACTGAACTCGCAACATTAGGCGGATCACAGCTGGACTGAAGAAGCCTTGCGTCAAAATAGCAGTATTGCTCTGCCGCCAGTCCACTCAACTCATCACTACCAGTCCACATTAATCACCCAGTGGCAGTAGCAGGGGAGAAATTATTGATTGCCCCATGGGCAAATTTTGGCATGTCTAACTTAAGTATTATTGATTAAAATAATGAGTTTTAATATTTATTTATCTCTTTTAGAGAGATAATTAGATATTTATTCAAATATGAATACTCTTAAAATAATAAATAAATTCTTAATAATAGGGTTGTTTGGCAACTTTGAAAAAATAATTAAAAAGTAATTAAAAAATAAAAAATAAAAAAGATTATTTACAAATTTTTTTATGCTTATTGTATATTTTTTCGTAAAAAATTATAAACTAAAATTAAAATTTTTCACATTATATTTTAACAGAAAAAATTATTAAAAAAACTACTTTCCAAATGATCACACACCCTAAAAAATATTAATTAATGAACAAAAAATTTATTACAAATTTTACATAATACTTACATGAATTTAAAGACTCTCGATGTATAAAATCCACACTCAAGTCAATATTGTATAGAACTTTTGGAATTTTTTTTGGAGTTTCTGGCATTTGTGTCAAAAATAAATAAATAATAAAACTGCATTTTGGTGTTAGAAACACCAAAAAATTACATTTGAATTTTTTTTTTTTAAAAAAAAAGAAAGAAAGAAAGAAAGAAAGAAAGGTGCAACTCATTTTTTTTTAACCCCCACTTCTTTGAATTTTTTCTTATCAAAATTGCTCCTCATATATATTGTTCTTTGAATCCCACTGTAATACCAACTATATCTCATTTCTTTGACACTCTCGCACTTCTGGTAGTTTTTTTTTTTTTGCCTTTTCACCTCCAACAACCCTCTAATTCCCTTTCTTGCTAGTGGCGGTCGAGATAGAGCAGGAGTAGGTGCTACTGGCAACATTTCTTGAAAAATAATTGTAAGTAGATTGAATGTCTATAATTTAGAACGATACTACCCATTTTCCTCTTGAATTTACTAATGTATCATTTTCTCTTTCATTTTATCATTCTCCTTTACAATTACAATGATAAAATGAACCAAGATAAGGATAAAACTCTCAAGGAGTTTATCTTATCACTTAAAAGAGTCCAGAGTAAGCAGTGAACTAGAGTTCATAGAAGTCATACTTCTAGTGGGACTTGTTGGAATTTTTTTTGGAGTTTCTGGCATTTGTGTCAAAAATAAATAAATAATAAAACTGCATTTTGGTGTTAGAAACACCAAAAAATTACATTTGAATTTTTTTTTTTTTTTTAAAAGAAAGAAAGAAAGGTGCAACTCATTTTTTTTTAACCCCCACTTCTTTGAATTTTTTCTTATCAAAATTGCTCCTCATCTATATTGTTCTTTGAATCCCACTGTAATACCAACTATATCTCATTTCTTTGACACTCTCGCACTTCTGGTAGTTTTTTTTTTTTGCCTTTTCACCTCCAACAACCCTCTAATTCCCTTTCTTGCTAGTGGCGGTCGAGATAGAGCAGGAGTAGGTGCTAATGGCAACATTTTTTGAAAAATAATTGTAAGTAGATTGAATGTCTATAATTTAGAACGATACTACCCATCTTCCTCTTGAATTTACTAATGTATCATTTCCTCTTTCATTTTATCATTCTCCTTTACAATTACAATGACCAGCCATTATAAACAATCTCTTCTCGTCATTGTCACTACTATTGCCAACCTTCTCTATCATCTCCAACCCTTCCTTCGCCATGGTTATTACTATTACCATCCTTTCCACTACCTCTATCGCTTTTCAGCCACTCTTAACCCTTGATCTCTTTCCATCCAACAACCATTTTCACACAAAAATTAACCATCACAAACGTTACAAACTTTATCAACCCCTCCTCATCGTGACCCAAAATCGTAACACATAGGTTACATTTGCCCCAAGTATAAGTCATATCTATACCAGAAACAATGAGGATTGGGAATTTTAGAGTTTGACAAGAACTTATTCTCGACAAATATGCTAGGCGAAATAATAACAAAAGAGGCCAACAATATGAAAATTTCAAATTATTTGAGTTTGATAAATTTATTTCAAAATCACATAATTTTGATAAAAAAAAATAGACATAATATACTCTCAACTAAACCATTTCAAAAGTTATTTTAGGCTTTATTTGGAAAATTATATTTATAGTTTAAAAAAATTATAAATTATCATATCACAATCTCTATTTTTTATACATATTTTCATAAAAAATTAACTAACAAATTTTCAACTGAACCTCGCATACTTGAAAAATGTTTGAACAAAATATATTTATTATTTAGTTATTTCAATTTAATATATATATATATATATATACAGATAAATTACACTGACACACTTGAGATTTGGTCTAATTACATTTCATCCCTGATGTTTTGGAAATTATATTTCCATCCCTATAGTTAATAGTTTAATTTCACAAATCTTTCTATTTATATAAAAAGTAACAACTTCTATTAGAAAAATAAAGAAAATCACATTGAAAGAAAAAGTAAAGTTAAAAAAAAAAAAATGAAAAAAAAAGAGTATGTGAATTTAATATTTTTTTATTTAAATAATTATAATAACAAAAAAATTAATGTAATTATCTAAACGTCAAAAATAATAATATTAAATTTAAATCTCCAAAAAATAAGTATATGTATTTTTACACAACTTGAAAAATAGGACTCATCAAACAAACTTATGTTTGTTTAGAGTGTCATAAATAAATATATTTTTTTGATTTTTTAGATTAAAAAATTAAGAAAAAAATATAAATATTTAGGTTAATTTTTTAATTTTTTATAAAAAAAATATATTAAAAATTATATAAATTAATGTGTAAAAAAAAATTAAAATTAATAATAAATTTTAACTTTTTAAATAACTTTTTTTTCATAAATAATAATAAATTTTTAACTTTAATTTTTAACTTTTTAATAAATAATAATAAATTTTTAACTTTTTAAATAACTTTTTTTTCAACTTGTCCAAAATTATGCAGTCATAATTTTTTAATTTTTAATAAATAATAATAAATTTTTAACTTTTTTAAATAACTTTTTTTTCAACTCGTGCCTCAACCGTTACTCTTGGACTCAAAAGTAAAAGTCAGATCCATCTCTGACATCGCAGTTAAAATACTCTTTAACCGTGGTTAAAGACTAAACCACATCGCCATGAATGCCCCCCTCACTGCTTCCCTCTCCTTTGTCTCTGCCGCTCACTTCTTTCAAGTTTCTCTCCCCTAACTCGCCTCCCCTCCCCTCCCCTCCCCACTCCCTCTCGACTCTCGTGTCTCTAGACAGAAAAACTAATAAAACTATTCTATTAATATCCAAACCAGCGTGACAAGCATTTAAGAGAGAGATAGTAAAGAGAGGGAGAGAGACTAGAGTAGTGAGGGCGCTGAACTCTCGACTTGCAAGTTGTAACAAACCACCTCTTGTTCCGCCGGAAATGACGGTGTTCGGCCACTCGGGTGGAGGCGGAGGTTTTCTCGCCGGGAAGCAGGTGTTCCCGGTGGACTACGAAGCGGAGGTCTCGCAACGCCTCCTCGAAGCTTCGCACTGCAATGATCTCAAAGCGGCCCTCGAATGCATCGCCGATTCGTTCGTCGATGTCAACTTCGTTGGCGCTGTGTGCTTGAAGATTCGAAAAGCGGAAGTGTCGTGTGACGACGAATCGGCGAATGAAGTTCGTGTTGAGTACGAAGAGTTCAGGACTGACGTCACGCCGTTGTTCCTCGCCGTTCATGGCGGGAATGCGATGCTCGTCAGGAAACTACTGGTTAGACTTTCCTGAACTGTATCTATTGGATCAGTGTGGTTGAATTTGGCTTGTTGCTTGATTTCGTTTCGCTGATTTTGAAGCGTTTTATGTGTTCGTTTGCGAGTTTGTTAATCTACATCTGGTTGATCTGTATTTCAGAATCTCTCTCGTCTCGTTGTTTTATTTGAATTCCGGGTTTTTCGTTTTGCCATCCCTTTCTATTCAAAATTTGAAACCAGGTGCCTTTAGTGATTCTGCCTTTTACATTTTGAATTTTGTACTAATTTTCTGATTATAGTTTCATCTTATACTTAATTACTATGAATTGCCGGATCAGTATATCTAATTAGGCATATCAATGTTTTTCTTCTTCTTCTTTTTTTTTTTTCCCCCATAAAAGATTTTTGAAGCAATTTTTTTTCCCCTTCCTAAGCTTTTGAACAATTTTTACTTTAGTCAATCTGCCCTTTTTGTTTTGTTTTTGTTCTTGTTTTTTTTTTTAATTTTAATATGTCTGTTTAATTACTGAAATTTGCTGGACCACGACATTTTTTTTATCGTTAGCATTAGAATCAATTAAATTTTTTTTTTTGTAATATAAGCCTGAGAACGAAAGTTTGGCGTTATTTTTTGAGAAATTAGTCTTTATTGTATTTGTTTCTTTTAGTATACATTGACTGCTTTTTTTCACTACTGTGGTCCCATTGCAGGTTTAATGGGTATGTTTGGTTTGTGTTTGGGAGATGTGTTTTAGAGATAAAATGTACGAAAAGTTGTTTGGTTTGGTTTTTTTCAAAAGATATTTTGGAAAATTATTTTGAGAGAGAGTTTTGGAAAAAGTGATTGATTTGATGCGTGTGAGAGAGAGATTTGTTTGGAAAACTTGTTGGTTTACAAGTTTTGAGAAATTTTTTTGAGAAAATTTGTTTGATTTGATTACTTTTAAAAACTTATTTGTAGAGAAAATTTCCCAAAATTTTTTTCGAAATGCAAACCAAATGAACCCAATATTTTTTCATTTTCATTGAAAATAAAGGAAATTAATGTTAATAGTGTGTTTGAAATCTAGATTCTATGATGATTCCTGAATTACACAAGCCACTCGAATCTTATTTTGTTGGTAGATTGCATTTATTGTAGGGTGGTGGCTATTTGCACTCCTCTTCTCACCAAAAGTGCTATCTAAAATAGGGCTGTTTAAATTATGTAAGTTTTGCACAAATATAATTTGGCCTTTTGCTGTTGTTTACCATTTTTTATAGTTTTTCACTAATAAAATTTGTACCCAGCAAAAATATATATATATTAAAATTTGCTGTACAGCGGAGGATTTGAAGTACAGCGGGCGTTTATTTTTTGGAAATTAATCTTTATTCCTTTTGTTTCTTAAGGATGCACTGACTGCTTTTTCCACTAATGAAGTCCCATTGCATGTTTAATATTTTTTCATTTTTCATTACAAATAAAGGAAATAAATGCTCATCTGTTTTTGAGGAGTGTTGCTATACTGACTCAAAAATTAGATCCACTCTAGACTCGGTGATAAGCCAAGAAAATGATTGGTTAATACTTACAGAATATTTAATTATCAACCAATTATCTTTTCGATATATTAATGGGTCTAGAAAATGAATTTAAAAAGTCGACTTATATATAATTTTCCTTTTGGAATCTAGATTCTATGGCCATTCCTGATGTATAAAATCCACTCAAATCTTATTTATTTTGTTGGTTGGTTGCATTTATTTTAGGGTGGTGCTATTGGCACTCCTCTTCTAACCAAAATCCTAGTTTGATTTTATTAACTTTTGCACAAATGTCAAAATTGCCACTTCTTGGAGAAAAAAGAAGCGGAATTGTACAGGTCTGTGGGGGCAAAAATTTGAATTTTGTCTAATAAAGACAAAAGGTGAAGTTTTTTTGGTGAACGGAGTCTGAATAGCACCATCCTTAATTTATTTCAGTTTTGTGTCATATATACTGGGAGGAATAAACTCTTTCACCCCAGAAGTAGAGTTTTTCCATTGGAATTTGCTTTGCTTTTGTCTGGTTTTATTCTTCCAGTGCAAATTTAAGTAATGCCCTAATACCAATCTTGTTTGAAGAGCTCCAGCTTCATGGTATTCTCTACATTCAGACAGAAAAATAAAAAATTCTCCCTGCTTCACTGCTTATTTTCTTTTTCTTCTTCAACTGAATGATAAGTTTCCGTTTGACTAATTTATTTCCAATAAAAAATGAAAAGAGTTAACTTGCTGTGTTCTTTGATTAATGAAATGCAAGTTAAAAAATTTAAGCGGTTTGATTCTCATCTGGCTTTTTGATGTTGTTTACCATTTCTTTAGTTTCTTTTATATATTCTTTGCTATCCTTTCCACAAATTTGTAAATTTATTATAAAATTAATTGGTAGCAATAAGATTTTGATCTTATTTTACAATGTAATAAGGAAGCAAGAGTTATTTATTAGTGAAAAGTGAGCATTCGTGATTTTTTTTTTTTTAAATTTTTTTCTCTCTCATAGTTGTCTTATTTTATTTCACACAGTGTTACTTGGGCATGAATTACAAAGTTTGCAAGGAAAAAATGAAGGAAATATTATCTATAAGATAAGCTTTTTTGTATTGAGTTTGTGTCAGCAAGGCCCATTTTGGGTTGTCTCTAACAGGACTACATAGCAGCACAGATACATGATACATAATACATTATTCCCGCTTTGCTTCATATTAATGACCTTCCATTGTTGATACATTCTCCATTATCTGTCACAACAGTTATGTTCCCTGTTTTTGTTTGTTTGTGGCCATTATTACTTGTCCTCAATGAAGAATCCAAGGCGCTTACTATGCTGCTGGTTTTGTTGTCTTCTTAACCAATCCCTGTTAAGATTTTGAGCAATTCAAAGAATGAATAACTAACATGTCTTCTTGTGGAGTCTTTTCGTTACTTTTGCAATGTACTGAGGGTTGCCATTTTAAAAAAATGATAGAGTATTGGAGCAGACGTAAACCAGAAGCTCTTCAGGGGCTTCGCAACAACAGCGGCAGTGAGGGAGGGCCATCTTGAGATTTTGGAGATCTTAGTAAAAGCTGGTTCTTCACAGCCTGCTTGTGAAGAGGCGTTGTTAGAAGCAAGTTGTCATGGGTGTGCAAGGCTTGCGGGGCTGCTCATGGGATCGGATCTGATTCGGCCCCATGTCGCGGTGCATGCTCTTGTCACTGCATGCTGCAGAGGGTTCAAGGATGTGGTGGATGCTCTCATTAAGGTAATCTTATTGACGGATTTAAATAGGCTATTGAGCAGCAGTTTTACTATTACATACTGAAGGCATTATAGAAAACCAACATGAACACTGAAAATACTTTCACTATCCAATCACGACAATTATTTATGAGAAACTAAAACATCATATTCAATAAGAGGGAATTATCCAAGAACTAGGGTGTGCAAGGCTTGCGGGGCTGCTCATGGGATCGGATCTGATTCGGCCCCATGTCGCGGTGCATGCTCTTGTCACTGCATGCTGCAGAGGGTTCAAGGATGTGGTGGATGCTCTCATTAAGGTAATCTTATTGACGGATTTAAATAGGCTATTGAGCAGCAGTTTTACTATTACATACTGAAGGCATTATAGAAAACCAACATGAACACTGAAAATACTTTCACTATCCAATCACGACAATTATTTCTGAGAAACTAAAACATCATATTCAATAATAGGGGATTATCCAGGAACTAGTCAATTGGCCGAATATCTTTGTGCTTTATATCATGCTAATTTGAAATATCATTTTGAAATAATAGCCCTTTCCTATTGACAGTGTGGAGTCAATGCAAATGCAAGTGATCGGGTCTTGCTTCAATCATATAGGCCTTCTCTACACACAAATGTCGACTGTAATGCACTCGTTGCTGCTGTTGTGTCTAGGCAGATCTCTGTCGTCCGTCTGTTGCTTCAGGTAAGGTTCTAATCTTGATTTTGATAATCAGTAGAATGACTCGTGCATTTTAGATGTATCCTAAAGTAAATTTGTCCCCTTTTTTTTATCTTATAATAATTGAAACAAAATTAATTGTTTATACAGTTTTACCAGAAGAGTTGAAAAATAATGAAAAGCCTTACAATGACAAACATTTTGCATCTATTTTTGGTACACGTAACTCCAAATCGTGGAAAATTATTTATTGGGAGAAATGGCATTGTTTCAAGCTAATCTCACATCACTTGTGTCATGTGATGTGAAATTGGTCTGTGCCAATTCTACACACCAATAATTGTTCTCATATCGCAGTCATCACATATAAATGGGTCCCCTTCTTGGTGTTTCAACTATGAAACAGCTGGACTTTCTCTTGATGACAATTCCATGGTGCTTGATTATATATGTTCGGCACAAAAATCTCAACAGCAACTTACCTCATCTCCGTCTCCTTGGTAGACCAAGTACGAATCAAGATTCTTTATGAAGAAATTTATAAAGTTAAATTGTAAAGTAAATTTTATATTACATATTTATGGAGAAGTTGATAGTTTAATGTTTTAATATATATAAAGTTTTTCATTAATACGTAAATATTTTTTCAAAAGTCAGTTTGATTTGATATTTTTTCAATTAATACCCCCTTTCCCTTGCACTTTGATTGCATAGTATAAAAATCATCTCATATAAAAACATAGATGCACTTTCTTTACAGTTAATTCTACAAAAGTTCAGAAGATTTAGAAAGTGACAACATTTAAAATCCTTCTTATTTTATATATAAAATAAAAGAATGTTCTTTTCTTCCCTCCTATGACTAACCTCTCTTCACTCCTCTCCCAAAATGGTAAAACAAGGCTAGTGTCAGAACAGACATCAAAGTTCAACTGGGGGCATGGTCATGGGATACAGTTTCAGGGGAAGAGTTTCGTGTGGGTGCAGGACTAGCAGAGCCCTACCCCATCACCTGGTGCGCTGTGGAGTATTTTGAGCACACTGGTACTATCCTGAGCATGCTCCTCCAACAAGTCTCATCCGATGCCACTCACCTTGGAAGAAACCTCCTCCACCATGCCATTCTCTGCGGCAATGCTGGAGCTGTCAACGTGCTTTTGAATTGCGGTGCAAATGTAGAATCTCCTGTTAAAACAACCCAGAAAACTGAGTTCCATCCAATACACATGGCTGCCCGTCTTGGACACTCAACTGTGCTCCAGTGCCTAATTGACTATGGCTGTGATATGAACTCGAGGACAGACACAGGTGATAGTGCTCTGATGATCTCTGCAAAACATAAGAGGGATGAATGTATCAAAGTATTGGCCACAGCTGGTGCTGATTTTGGTTTGGTGAATATAGCAGGTCAGTCTGTGTATTCAATCGCAGGGTCAAACCAATGGCCTCTTTGTTTTCAACAAGCCGTGCTAGATGTAATTAGGGCTGGAAAGGTTCTGAAATCAAGTAACGTGTCAATTTTTTCACCTTTAATGTTTGTAGCTCGATCGGGTGATATTCTAGCCTTGGAAGCCCTAATTGGGCGACCAGAAATCGATCTTGATTATCAGGATGATAGGGGTTTCTCTGCAGTCATGGTTACCGCTATGGAAGGTCATGTTGAAGCTTTCCGGTTGCTTGTCTATGCTGGGGCTGATGTTAAGCTGTGCAACAAATCTGGTGAGACTGCTATTACCTTATCCGAATTCAACCAAAGTCGCGATCTATTTGAGAAAGTAATGCTCGAATTCGCTCTTGAAAAGGGTAACCGCAATGGCGGAGGTTTTTACGCCCTACATTGTGCAGCCCGCCGTGGAGACTTAGACGCAGTGAGATTATTGATGCATAAGGGTTATGATGTAAATGTCCCTGATGGGGATGGCTACACGCCAGTCATGTTGGCAGCAAGGGAAGGCCATGGAAGCACTAGTCGGCTCTTGATTAAATCAGGAGCACGATGTGACTTGAAGAATGTTAAGGGCGAAACTGCACTCTCACTTGCAAGGAACAATGGCAGTCATGATGCAGTACAGGTGATACTCGACGAGCTTGCTCGGAAACTGGTGTTGAGTGGCGCTATTGTGATGAAGCATACAAAAGGAGGAAAAGGAGCTCCGCATAGTAAAGTTATTAAAATGATGGAGGCTACCGGGGTATTGAGGTGGGGGAATTCAAGCCGGAGAAACGTGATATGCCGAGAGATTGAGGTGGGACCGAGCTTGAATTTTAAGAGGCTGAGGCGGAGGAAGGGGGATGCGGATGAAGCTGGAGTGTTTCGGGTGGTGACTACGAAGAACAAGGAAGTGCATTTTGTGTGCGAGGGTGGGTTTGAGACGGCGGAGATGTGGGTGAGGGGAATACAGCTTGTGACAAGGGAAGCTGTTTCTGGTAAGAAGTAGAGGGAAGCATAATGGAGAGAGGGTGTGACTAGGAATCTAGTATATTTATCCCCCAAAAAAGGAGACTAGGAATCGAGCTTGCATAGATGTTTGGGGAAGTACTTTTTCTCGAAGTACTTGGAACTATATCCTGTTTTCACTGTACAAATTTTGACAACCCTAGTTGTAAATGTATTTTGGAAGTGAAAGCATGTGTTTTTGTTAAATATTATGTGTGTGGATTATAAATTTAAGCCTCCGTTTGGGAAGTGGGTTGGCTTTTTGATTTTTTAGCTATTTTAGCCTAGGCTATTTTAACCTGGTTTGGGAAGGGTTTTTTGGCTTTTTGGTTTTTTTGACTTTTTTGTGAGAGATGATTGTAATGATTATGGGTTGAATTTGATGTTTTGTTTTTTGTGGTTAAAATAGCCTATTTTATTTTTTGTGACTATTTTAGCCAAAAAAGTCTGGCTTTTTTCTTCCCAAACGGAGCCTAAGTAGCCATTTGTGAAAGAGAGAATGAAAAAAATATTTACATCAAATTAGTTAAATTTTTATTTTTCTATTTTAGCCAATCACTTTTTCAAATAAACCCTTCAACAAGCTCTCTATTTATTTGTGTATTCTTGCTTTATATTGATATTATTTTTGTTGCAGATTCATATTTGAAGGGAGATAAAAAGAAAAAGAAAAAGAAAAAGAAAAAGAGTTTAATGTAGAGCCTGACTGCCCTGTAACTGTTATTGGGGTATTTTTGAAAAACCAAAAAATTGAGACATCAAAACCAACTCCAACTTTTTCTTTATACTAGTAGGTGGCACACGTGATGTGTGTGTAATTTAAATAAATATAAATAAAATAAAGCATTTATCATATATTATGTGCTAATTAAGTGGTAAAACTCTTATTCATTTGACATAAGTCTAAGGTTCAAATCTCCTTCTCTCATTTATCTAATTTTTTTTTTTTATTTCAAATAAAAGAGTAGACACATGGCATCATAAGAAATAAAAGTTTCAAGACACCATAAAGGGGTGTTCAATTTATAATAGTATAGATATATATATATATATATATATATTAATTTAATACGTTTCATTACTTATATTTTATAATAAATTTATAACCGTGTCATATATCACCGAAATAGTTTATCGTTACCTTCTATGCAGACTATTATGTTGATAAATTTCACTATTTATTATTAAATTTGGTGAGTCTTATATATATATAATTTTTGTTGCATCAATACATTTAGGAAGTGAAATAAAATTGATGATAAATAACATTTTTCTATTTATTGAAAAAAAAAAAAAGTGATTGAGACATAAAATATAATAATTTTAACATTATTAAATATTTTATAATTTAAAATTATTTGTGGAGTTGTTTGGTGTCAACGACTCGTAGCAATGGTTTTGAGTTTTACCAAAATAACTAACCAATTGACGTGTTTAATGAAGTGCTCTTTGATTGATTTGGGCTATGAAATAGCTAAGGAGATGGTTTAGTGAGCATAATATGGATGCTCTGCTTATAAGAGATCCAAACACAATCTTATGATTTTCCTACTGGCCTAGGCTGGTCTCTTGGTTTAGTCATAGAGATTGTTTGGTGTAACGCTGCTACGCAGTTCAAAAAACACTTGGCCCGAAATGACTCGAATCCAAAACGACGTTGTTTTGAGAATTTTTTTTTTCATCTGTTTCTCCTCTCCCTCTCTTCACAATCACCAAACTGAAATCAAGCTCAATTTTTTTTCCCCTTCTTGCCGGCATCATCATCATCATCAACAACACATCATCATCATACACAGATTTTGGACAATTCCCCCCCCTCTTATATCCTGAAACAGACGGAGAAAGAGAGAAGAGAAAACAGATTTGTGGTTGACCGGATTGGTTGTGGTCGGGCAGTGGAGAAGAATCAGAGATCAGAGGCGACGATTGACGATTGTGATTTGATGATGGCAGCGGCGATTGAGCCAATCAGCAAAGAAGAGACGAGTGCTCTCTCTTCCCCCTCCCTCTTCTCTCTTCCTTTCTTTTGTCTCTTTCTATTTCTCTTCTTCTCTCTTCTCTCTTCTCTCTTCGGCCATATATAAGAGGGAAAGAAAGAAGGAAAAAAAAAAAAAAAGATTTCGAATTACGAAAGATTATTCTTGTTCGATGTAAACTTACAGACACGCTTATAACTTTTCTTTTTTATTTTAAAAATTTGTGCCGAAATATTTAGTACATCTTTTTGCTGAGATGAGATAAAAAATAATTTAAATAAGTTTAAAAAAATAATTATGAGAAAATAGAGGGAGAAGTTATTCTAATTTCTGTTTTTGATTATTAAAAGTTGTACCAACCAGGGTCATAAAAGTAATCGAAAGAATTTATGGGACACCATGCCTCTTTGAGTTAGGACGACTCTGCCTATCCACCCAGGCTCATTTTGAGCTTTCATGCATGCAAATTGCAATGATAAAGGCCCAGAATAAGAAATGTATGAGCATCTTCACTTGATAATGTTGTTGTTGCTATCCCTGTGCCATTGTTTGCTTTTCAGCAAACCCGAAATTTTAATTAGGGCTGCAATATGGAACAAATTGTTCCAAGTCCAGTCCCAAAAAACAGAGAGATCTGCCCAAGTTCCAATTTTAATCGAAACTGACTTGTCCAAAGCTTGACTGCTCAAGATCAACTACATGAATTTGAGTTGGACTTGGGTTCGTCCAAATAAACAAAGAAAAATAGAATTGGAACACAAACAATTGATCCAAGAACTAATAATGATGCAAAATTGATGTCTGCTCAAAATCAATAACTAAACTTGAGATATGCTTTTTATCCAAGATATTGTCCCGCTAGTCATAATGAGGCCTCCCAATATGATTTAATGAAATGGGTAGAATTCAAACTAGATCATTTCTTTCCCCCTAGTTTAATGACATTTGGTTCTTTACCAAAAGGGTTGAACCATTTATCATTTTCAGTTTCAAACATCACAAGACACGCAATGAATACACTTCCAATTGTTACCTCGGAATAAGGAGGCCCTGAATTCCCATTATCATGTCAAAGCTATTGTCAAGATGGAATTGTGACGGTTCTTTTTCCCACATTAAATCTTCTTGTCATTCTCAGAACATAGACTTGCCTTGCTCATGGTGGTTTCTAATCCCTAAAATTGTTTAACTACATTATTCTAAGGTCTACAAACAACGATGAGAACTTAAAAATTCTCAACTATGGAACTTGAGGTGTAAAAGCCTTCAAAATGAAGACAAACTGGTACTAACGGAGATATTTGGAATACCGACAAGCCACCACTCAGCCTGCAGCAATCTCCTTTTCCTTCGCCTTGCACATATCCTCTGCCGACTTGATAAACTTCTTAGTCAATTCATCAACCTAGGGAAATGAACAAGCATCAGGTATGAGCACAATCCTTAAAAAACCGTCAAGTGTTTCTTCAGTAGTTATCCACTATTTAACTCACTTCTTTCTCCAATCTTTTGGCATCATCTTTTGGGAAACTTGAACCTGCTTTCTTCATCGTATCCAATGCCTGTACAAGGAAAAGGAGTTTGCCTAGACTATTAAACAATGCTACAGTATTTCATAAAGCAAATAACATAAAATTTGTAACCATTGTTGCAGCTTCTTCTGTGTGTAGTATGCGCTTGTAAAAGTTTTTAGCAGTTTAGTTTGTTGATAGGGTGTTCATGTTAATCATAAAAAATAACAGAGATTAAAAACAAATATCTGCTCCAAATTAAGACCAGCAATATGCACTAGTTTTCCAGTAAAATATACTACTAAGCCAAATATATTGATAAATCACCAAATATGCATGAGAAATCATGATTCTTCCACTAAGCCACCATATTAACCAAAATGGCACTCAGAGCATGTCAATAATCTGTGACATCCAAAAGCAAAAAATGCCTTTAGTGGTTTCATTCTTTGTAATCTTCTCCTCTTATTTGGTTTTCTATCCAAGGAACAATAACACTTTGCAACAGAAAATAGTTCAAATGGAGAAAAAGAACTTTTTTTTTTTTTGCAGCTATACCTTCTGGCGAGCTCTTCTTATACTCTGCTTGACATCTTCAGAAGATTTGGTCACCACCTTGCACACAGCCTAGCAAAAAAGTGGCTTGATGCTAATAGCAATTGCAGAGAAAATGAATAAAAAGGACAAAGCAATATATATATTTTTGATAAATAAAAGGACAAAGCAATATTGAACTCACCTGCATATGCTCCTTAGTCAATCTGCATATTGCAAGTATAAAACAAATATACATTAGCCAAGTATTGCAAGTATAAAACAAATATACATTAGCCAAGTATTGCAAGTATAAAACAAATATACATTAGCCAAGTATTGCAAGTATAAAACAAATATACATTAGCCAAGTATTGCAAGTATAAAACAAATATACATTAGCCAAGTATTGCAAGTATAAAACAAATATACATTAGCCAAGTATTGCAAGTATAAAACAAATATACATTAGCCAAGTATTGCAAGTATAAAACAAATATACATTAGCCAAGTATTGCAAGTATAAAACAAATATACATTAGCCAAGTATTGCAAGTATAAAACAAATATACATTAGCCAAGTATTGCAAGTATAAAACAAATATACATTAGCCAAGTATTGCAAGTATAAAACAAATATACATTAGCCAAGTATTGCAAGTATAAAACAAATATACATTAGCCAAGTATTGCAAGTATAAAACAAATATACATTAGCCAAGTATTGCAAGTATAAAACAAATATACATTAGCCAAGTATTGCAAGTATAAAACAAATATACATTAGCCAAGTATTGCAAGTATAAAACAAATATACATTAGCCAAGTATTGCAAGTATAAAACAAATATACATTAGCCAAGTATTGCAAGTATAAAACAAATATACATTAGCCAAGTATTGCAAGTATAAAACAAATATACATTAGCCAAGTATTGCAAGTATAAAACAAATATACATTAGCCAAGTATTGCAAGTATAAAACAAATATACATTAGCCAAGTATTGCAAGTATAAAACAAATATACATTAGCCAAGTATTGCAAGTATAAAACAAATATACATTAGCCAAGTATTGCAAGTATAAAACAAATATACATTAGCCAAGTATTGCAAGTATAAAACAAATATACATTAGCCAAGTATTGCAAGTATAAAACAAATATACATTAGCCAAGTATTGCAAGTATAAAACAAATATACATTAGCCAAGTATTGCAAGTATAAAACAAATATACATTAGCCAAGTATTGCAAGTATAAAACAAATATACATTAGCCAAGTATTGCAAGTATAAAACAAATATACATTAGCCAAGTATTGCAAGTATAAAACAAATATACATTAGCCAAGTATTGCAAGTATAAAACAAATATACATTAGCCAAGTATTGCAAGTATAAAACAAATATACATTAGCCAAGTATTGCAAGTATAAAACAAATATACATTAGCCAAGTATTGCAAGTATAAAACAAATATACATTAGCCAAGTATTGCAAGTATAAAACAAATATACATTAGCCAAGTATTGCAAGTATAAAACAAATATACATTAGCCAAGTATTGCAAGTATAAAACAAATATACATTAGCCAAGTATTGCAAGTATAAAACAAATATACATTAGCCAAGTATTGCAAGTATAAAACAAATATACATTAGCCAAGTATTGCAAGTATAAAACAAATATACATTAGCCAAGTATTGCAAGTATAAAACAAATATACATTAGCCAAGTATTGCAAGTATAAAACAAATATACATTAGCCAAGTATTGCAAGTATAAAACAAATATACATTAGCCAAGTATTGCAAGTATAAAACAAATATACATTAGCCAAGTATTGCAAGTATAAAACAAATATACATTAGCCAAGTATTGCAAGTATAAAACAAATATACATTAGCCAAGTATTGCAAGTATAAAACAAATATACATTAGCCAAGTATTGCAAGTATAAAACAAATATACATTAGCCAAGTATTGCAAGTATAAAACAAATATACATTAGCCAAGTATTGCAAGTATAAAACAAATATACATTAGCCAAGTATTGCAAGTATAAAACAAATATACATTAGCCAAGTATTGCAAGTATAAAACAAATATACATTAGCCAAGTATTGCAAGTATAAAACAAATATACATTAGCCAAGTATTGCAAGTATAAAACAAATATACATTAGCCAAGTATTGCAAGTATAAAACAAATATACATTAGCCAAGTATTGCAAGTATAAAACAAATATACATTAGCCAAGTATTGCAAGTATAAAACAAATATACATTAGCCAAGTATTGCAAGTATAAAACAAATATACATTAGCCAAGTATTGCAAGTATAAAACAAATATACATTAGCCAAGTATTGCAAGTATAAAACAAATATACATTAGCCAAGTATTGCAAGTATAAAACAAATATACATTAGCCAAGTATTGCAAGTATAAAACAAATATACATTAGCCAAGTATTGCAAGTATAAAACAAATATACATTAGCCAAGTATTGCAAGTATAAAACAAATATACATTAGCCAAGTATTGCAAGTATAAAACAAATATACATTAGCCAAGTATTGCAAGTATAAAACAAATATACATTAGCCAAGTATTGCAAGTATAAAACAAATATACATTAGCCAAGTATTGCAAGTATAAAACAAATATACATTAGCCAAGTATTGCAAGTATAAAACAAATATACATTAGCCAAGTATTGCAAGTATAAAACAAATATACATTAGCCAAGTATTGCAAGTATAAAACAAATATACATTAGCCAAGTATTGCAAGTATAAAACAAATATACATTAGCCAAGTATTGCAAGTATAAAACAAATATACATTAGCCAAGTATTGCAAGTATAAAACAAATATACATTAGCCAAGTATTGCAAGTATAAAACAAATATACATTAGCCAAGTATTGCAAGTATAAAACAAATATACATTAGCCAAGTATTGCAAGTATAAAACAAATATACATTAGCCAAGTATTGCAAGTATAAAACAAATATACATTAGCCAAGTATTGCAAGTATAAAACAAATATACATTAGCCAAGTATTGCAAGTATAAAACAAATATACATTAGCCAAGTATTGCAAGTATAAAACAAATATACATTAGCCAAGTATTGCAAGTATAAAACAAATATACATTAGCCAAGTATTGCAAGTATAAAACAAATATACATTAGCCAAGTATTGCAAGTATAAAACAAATATACATTAGCCAAGTATTGCAAGTATAAAACAAATATACATTAGCCAAGTATTGCAAGTATAAAACAAATATACATTAGCCAAGTATTGCAAGTATAAAACAAATATACATTAGCCAAGTATTGCAAGTATAAAACAAATATACATTAGCCAAGTATTGCAAGTATAAAACAAATATACATTAGCCAAGTATTGCAAGTATAAAACAAATATACATTAGCCAAGTATTGCAAGTATAAAACAAATATACATTAGCCAAGTATTGCAAGTATAAAACAAATATACATTAGCCAAGTATTGCAAGTATAAAACAAATATACATTAGCCAAGTATTGCAAGTATAAAACAAATATACATTAGCCAAGTATTGCAAGTATAAAACAAATATACATTAGCCAAGTATTGCAAGTATAAAACAAATATACATTAGCCAAGTATTGCAAGTATAAAACAAATATACATTAGCCAAGTATTGCAAGTATAAAACAAATATACATTAGCCAAGTATTGCAAGTATAAAACAAATATACATTAGCCAAGTATTGCAAGTATAAAACAAATATACATTAGCCAAGTATTGCAAGTATAAAACAAATATACATTAGCCAAGTATTGCAAGTATAAAACAAATATACATTAGCCAAGTATTGCAAGTATAAAACAAATATACATTAGCCAAGTATTGCAAGTATAAAACAAATATACATTAGCCAAGTATTGCAAGTATAAAACAAATATACATTAGCCAAGTATTGCAAGTATAAAACAAATATACATTAGCCAAGTATTGCAAGTATAAAACAAATATACATTAGCCAAGTATTGCAAGTATAAAACAAATATACATATTGCAGCAAAAAGAAAATTTAACTGAGCCACTAAACTGTATGAGTGAAAACAGCTGGGTTTTTTAATTGGGTTTCCTTCGGATTCTTGGGAACCAAGCGCATAATTAGGAGAATCTGAAGACGGAAAATGATACCTGTACTCTTGAAGGAAGCGATCGTCGTCGAGATCGGGATCGTCCTCGAGATCTTCAAGTTGTTCTTCGGTCCTATCATCGATCCAAGCTTCGTCTTTGTGTTTAGAGTCTTCGTCCTCGGCGGGCGTGAAAGATGGGGACTTGAATGCAGGGGGCTTCGGAGGGAGGTTTCCCAATTTTCTCTGAATATCGTCCCATTGAGTCGAAGCTCCTTCCACGTCCTTGTACACGAAGTGATAGTTCGCCATTTTTGAATCTCCGATCAACCCTCTCTCTCTCGAGATCTGCTTCGATGAAGTTCGGTGTGTAATAACGAATTACGGGCTTGCAGATAAGTGGGCCAAAGGCCTATAATTATTCGGTCCGTTTACGATCCTGATAAGTGGGCTATAGGCTCACAATTATTCGTCCCCATTTACGACCAGTTCTTGGTTCATAACCATTACCTTCCCACAACAACTATAATTTGAAAATCATGTCAGACAAATATTTCATCTGCATTCATGTTTCTTATTAAAACAAATTAGAAAACAACGAAAGAGAAGCAAATTCACATGCTTATGCAATTTGGTCTGAAAGCATTTCAAAATTTCTTTTATTGTATAACAATTTTGGAATTCAGAATCTCACTTTTGATGACTGGATATCTACATATAAGCTCATGATAACTACATACACTAACACAAAGATCTAAGAAATTCAGATTCTTAGAGAAACAGCAACTTAATGGCACATTCCAAGGGGCATAGAAAGAACGATAAAAACTATTGAAATTGTTTTAGATATAATAAGATACCTTCAGGAGTACATCTGCGCCCAAAATTATGCAAGCCCACATAATTTGCCTTGACAGCACTATTATTGTACACCAAAAGAGTTGGAAGATTACAATCCGGATAGTTAAGAATGCAGTCAGTAGATATTATTTTAACAAATTTCGTTGCCGGGTATTTTGTTGCCAGCTGTTCCAAGCATTGCAGAAGAAGCCCACATTCTGGGTATCTATAAAAAATTTAAAACAGATGACAACACACACATGGATACGCATTTACAAATGTATAAGAATCCAAAGAGGTATAATAAAAAGAATGGAGCTGTTTAAGAAGTAACAACAATCAATTAGATAAGTAGTGCAACAATGAAACTATCAAATTTCCAGGAATAATTCTTACCCGTCCTTGTACAAAATGACGACGACCCAAACATCTGGTGGAGCCTGGGAAACCTCGCGTACAAAATCAGATCCAGAAATTGGAACCACTGATCCATACCTCTGAACCTTAGCTGCTTGTCTCAATTCTCCCAACCTCTTCTTCCTTTTAATACACACCATGCAATCAAATTAAGAAATATTCAATTAAAACATACATTTTAAGGCAATAAGAGCATCTCCAATCCTTCACCAATTCTTTCATCAATTTGATGAATAAAGAACAGGGTTCAGTGTCACTGTGACAATCCAATAAAAGAAGATGAACAACATCACATGAACAAAACTAATGGATCTGAAATGAAAACTTGGTAAGCAGTTTGAGTAACAATACATTAAAACTCCAACCCTTTGCCCCATCAAGTTCGGGGTTCATAACCACATAAAACCATATCTTAATTTAATATGTTAAAATACAAATAAAGATGCAGAAGCAGCAATACAGTCTACAGACTGCATCTCTACTACTAGAAAACACAAAATCTACACTTTTTCCACTATAAGAGAAAACAAAATGAAAAGAACAAGGATGAGATAGAAATAAAGACTTAGGACCCTAATCACTAGAAGATCTATCATCATCATCGTCTTCATGATCTCTAACAACCTTCTCTATGAGTCTCTGCCGAACTCCTTTGAGGACAGCTTCTCTTGATGATGGTTCGCTTCCACTTTGCCCATCATTGAGAACAGGATCAGACTGGCAGAGAACCAAGGCAACACCTAGCAATTTGGAAAAAGTAACAGAGTTGTTAAATCCGAATACACCTAGGGGCCAGAAAACTTGAATAAGATATATGTCATTTCAGATCAGTTTCTACACTTACAGACAATGCTCTTACATGACAAAACAGTGAATTCAACAAGGAATTTGTTAAATCAAAAACAACCCCAAGTATATGTAACTATAATAGTTCCAACACATGCTCAAGTGCAGAAGATAGAGGGTGAGCTCAGATGAATGGTGAATCTGGTGCCCATACGTGTATATCTGTGCAAGAGCCCTATATCCATAGTGAGGTATAACTTCCATCAATAGAGAAGAAGATGAAAAAGCACCAGCACCCGTATAGCCCAAATAGATTTTTGGATTCACATGCACGCTCGTGCATTTATGTTTGATCCTGTTGTTTTTCTGAAGGTTCACTTGATGCAAAATAAATCTCATCACAATTAATGATCCATTCTATAGTCCAGAAAACAAAGTATCCAAATAGCTATAAATTTATAACTAACCACTTCAAAATACTTAACATTGAAAAAAATCAACTATAAATTTCCTTTTTCAGATGATCCATACACTTGAAACGCATTAGTCTGATTAGAAACCATACCTTCCCACAACAACTATAATTTGAAAATCATGTCAGACAAATATTTCATCTGCATTCATGTTTCTTATTAAAACAAATTAGAAAACAACGAAAGAGAAGCAAATTCACATGCTTATGCAATTTGGTCTGAAAGCATTTCAAAATTTCTTTTATTGTATAACAATTTTGGAATTCAGAATCTCACTTTTGATGACTGGATATCTACATATAAGCTCATGATAACTACATACACTAACACAAAGATCTAAGAAATTCAGATTCTTAGAGAAACAGCAACTTAATGGCACATTCCAAGGGGCATAGAAAGAACGATAAAAACTATTGAAATTGTTTTAGATATAATAAGATACCTTCAGGAGTACATCTGCGCCCAAAATTATGCAAGCCCACATAATTTGCCTTGACAGCACTATTATTGTACACCAAAAGAGTTGGAAGATTACAATCCGGATAGTTAGGAATGCAGTCAGTAGATATTATTTTAACAAATTTCGTTGCCGGGTATTTTGTTGCCAGCTGTTCCAAGCATTGCAGAAGAAGCCCACATTCTGGGTATCTATAAAAAATTTAAAACAGATGTCAACACACACATGGATACGCATTTACAAATGTATAAGAATCCAAAGAGGTATAATAAAAAGAATGGAGCTGTTTAAGAAGTAACAACAATCAATTAGATAAGTAGTGCAACAATGAAACTATCAAATTTCCAGGAATAATTCTTACCCGTCCTTGTACAAAATGACGACGACCCAAACATCTGGTGGAGCCTGGGAAACCTCGCGTACAAAATCAGATCCAGAAATTGGAACCACTGATCCATACCTCTGAACCTTAGCTGCTTGTCTCAATTCTCCCAACCTCTTCTTCCTTTTAATACACACCATGCAATCAAATTAAGAAATATTCAATTAAAACATACATTTTAAGGCAATAAGAGCATCTCCAATCCTTCACCAATTCTTTCATCAATTTGATGAATAAAGAACAGTGAGCTCCAATCATTTCATCAAACTTGTATCAAATCAAGGAGATGCAAAATTTTCACCAAATCAAGGATTAACTAAATCCTTCACCAAATTTTCAACAGTCATATTATTAGTCAAATTTGATGAAATTTTAACAAGAGTAAGGTTTGGAGATGATTTTCTTTTCATAAATAAATGATTAAAACAGGATAAATTTGGAACTTTATAAAAAGATTTGATGAAAAAAAAAGTAAGGATTGTTGTGTTCCATACCAGATCAAGCATATAACCAAAATTTCACTCAAATTGATGAAGAAGAAGAGTAAGGATTGGAGATGCTCTAATGTGATTTTTTTTTTATTAAAAAAAATAAAGAAAAAAAAAAAAGAGAAAGAGTTAGGTCCAATTTATGTTGATGCCATATAGTTCATGGAACACTTGTCAGGAAATTAGGGCTCCAATTATCTTCAATGAACTGTTACCACGAAGTTCAGGACAATCGTTCAAGGGTTTTGATTAAGCTACCAGAAAAGGAAAAAAAAAACACCACCTTTTTTTTAAGGTAAAAAACCAAAATAAACAGCAAAAAGAAACTCAATTTAACTGAGCCAATAGCTGGGTTTTTTATTGGGTTTCCCTCGGATTCTTGGGAACCAAACGCATAATTAGGAGAATCAGAAGACGGAAAATGATACCTGTACTCCTGAAGGAAGCGATCGTCGTCGAGATCGGGATCGTCCTCGAGATCTTCGAGTTGTTCTTCGGTCCTATCATCGATCCAGGCTTTGTCTTTGTGTTTAGAGTCTTCGTCCTCGGCGGGCGTGAAAGATGGGGGCTTGAATGCAGGGGGCTTCGGAGGGAGGTTTCCCAATTTTCTCTGAATATCGTCCCATTGAGTCGAAGCTCCTTC